TTTATCGATACACTATTCTATGCGTGCCAACACATCCACGATATATTAATTTTCTTTTCAAAAATTGTATTTTTGCAATTCGAGGTGTTTCGAGGGGAGCTAATAAACTTCCGTCCGGATCGAATCGATGAACGATATTCCAGGGACCGTTAATCGAACCACTTTAACGTAAGCGGAGGCGTGTTCTGCGTGGGTCACTCGTCGTGCAAGCGTTTTCCGCGAGCGTGAACGGTCGAGAGAGGTTCCACGTGCGTTTATTGCGACCTTTACCTACTTAATTCGCAGTTGCACGCATCCACGCGTTGACCTTCTTCGGCCCACCGTTTTAATTTCGTTCCACGGCTAGAACTGCCGTCGCGTTGGTCCACGCCACCAACCATCGACATCTCGACGCAATGTCAAGATCGAGAGCAGATACCCGCCACGCGTTTCGATTCTCGATTAATGTTGCTCGGACTGTCTCGAGAGGCTAAGTCGGTCGGGAGCACGGTGCATTCCCCCACGGAGATATCGGCGTCGCAATTCCTCGGTGACGTGCCGTTAACGCTCTGTCGACCACCGACGCCATTGTGCTATTTTTGGTAGCGAGCCACTTGTCACGAGTAACCATCATACTCTGACCATTTCATCGAGAAATTGTGCGTTCAGAGAAAGATAAGGAAAAAGCAAAAAACTTGATTATTAGTGGCTCGGTAACTCATAACAAATGCTCAGTTTTATGGGACGTTCGACCCAGCATCTATTTTAGGGCGAAGTCAAGGAAATATTCAACATATCTCGCGCTTATACGATTGTCTTTCAGGGCGACTAAACTACATTAATTTTACGACACGGTAATTTCCAGTGTCGCGCGTAACATCGATACACTCTCATCAGGACAAACTTGTCGAGATTTTCGCGTGTGTTTGCGCAAGAATATTAGCGCAGAATTAGTCGTACGCGTCGTAAAGGCTGTTAATCGTTTTATAGGCACGTTTCGCGAATAATTGTTTATAGCAGGCTCGAGCCATAATCCCCGTATACGCGACTCGCGGCGCGCATTCCCAGGCGCATAGGAAACGGTAGTCTTTTTAAGACACGAAACGGGTTTCTCAAAAACGATGGGAAAGATTATCACGAAAGTTTGTCAAATCGCTTATGGCCGGGAATCGTGTGTAGTTAGCCGGTAATCCGGGGTCAGGTGATGGATAGTTTCGTACAGAAAAACGCCTAACGGTACGAGGGTTCGAGACCTTCGGTGGATCGAGGAGATCGCCTCCCACGCATCGACGATTCGTCGAGACAATATCGTGCTCGTTTGATAATGGCGTAGACTGTTTTTTGAATCGACAGTTTTTAAAAATAGCCTTCCCGTTGTGCCCGAAACACAAAGACGGTAGACGGGAGGATATTGTGCTTGTCAGTCGAAGCGCTGGGAAGTGGAATAAAGCCGGCATAGGGAAGGCACAGGCAATAAAACCGGTTGCCGTGTCCCTCGAGCCGTTTTCCTCGTTTCTTTCCTGGATACGACCAACGAGAGATCCGGCTCTCCGCGACAATGAAACCCGCGTCGACATTCTTCATTTCTACGCCCAAAGACTCTCTAATGGATGGCTGTCCCACGGAAGCTGACCCTCCGCCATCCAAAATTTCGCTTAAAAATAACAAATAGCCGACAGACCCGTCGATAAACGCCAGGGACACTCGCGAGGGTTTCGTTGCAAACTGTTATTCAACGCGAACTTCTCAAACTCTATAAATATCAGCCCTGCCATCATCGGTTTTATTAAATCATATGAAACGTCGACACCGTCGTAAATATTCTCGTTGCAAAACTGTTTCGTATTTACCCAACGGGAAATTGAAGAGATCTCGAGCAATACTCGCTGGACGCGAGGCTTTCGCTCGACGAGCACCAAGGAGGGGAACATAGTTGCGAAAAGACGCGAGCGGATGTTGCGAGTGAAATTAGAGGGAACGGTGTTTTTTTTTCCACGGTGGCGATGCTTTCGTGCCCGTTAAATAGCCTGTGATGTAATCGATTACATCATTTAAAGCGTGGAATCGGTATCGTGTCACACTCGTGCGCCCGCATATTGCACCCACGCTTCCTCGGCTCGAATACCCTAACCAATCGAACGGGCCACATCGAGGGGAATTCGAGCATCTTGAATATCTTGTTTTCTCCGTGGAAATCTTCTATTTCAGGACGCTGAAAGGGGCCGTCCCTTCGCGAATTTTCCCTTCAAACTGTCGTTCCGTTTTACTGTTTTAAATTTGGAAATTCCCTCGACTCATCCTTGGCGGAAGAGTCGTATCTCGCGTGTTTGGCGCGTGTAACTCCGCCACACCCTGTATATCCAACGACAACATCGCGACGAGAACGACACAGAGTACACGCAGCCGAGCATCCGATCGATAACGAGCGATTTAATCGCGCGGATCTTCTGAAAAAGATATTTCCAACGTGCTACGGCTTCGATCCAGCCGGAGGGAATCGTTAGCCTCTCGGCTCTTACCTGCCCCGACCGACTATAATCGAGTGTGCAACTATTCGCACGGTATTGGTCGCCGTTACTCCCGTCCAGTTTAGCGGAGAACACCAATTAACGGCCCAATTATCAGTCAATTCAGGACACGAGAACTTTAGACGAATCAAGGCTGACGCCAGACCTCGCATTCTCGTATAAAACACTCGGCGGACTAATTGATCGACCTTCGTTCATCGCGAAGATCAATCCGAGCGCTCCGTTTAAAAAGCTTAGATTTTTCCAACGTCTAAATCTGGAGGCAGCCGGAATCGATCGTCCGGTGATTTCTCAGCAAAGTTCGAAGGGAGGAGGATAACGGAATTAGACGGAAATGAACGTGTTACTTGTCGTAACAGCGACGCCATAAAAGTCCCGTGGAAAATTGAGAAACAACCGCGGCAAACGTTTACCACGAAACGCGCGACGTAAATAAGTAAATAAATTACCTAAGTGCCTCCTGTTTCCGCGCGCGAGTCTCGTTCGAGTGAAATTCTATTAGATAACGCGATCGAACCCGAGCCACGGAATCCTTTGAAATATTTCTATCGAAAGTTTTCGGACGTCCGAGCGTTCGTGTCGCGATCGAACTTTCGTCGAACAATCGTGTTCGGGATAAACGTGCCCCCCGGGATGTCTTCGAACCAGGGACCAAGCCAATAACGAAACGCACGCGTCTCGGAATTATAGGAACGAAACGGCAAAAATGCCGATTTATTATCTAACCGCGCGTTATCTATAATGAAGGCGTGTTGCATAAAAGAATTTCTAAGGCTACACAAACGCTGTCGTCACCGAGGCCGATTTATCAGCGATTCGTTATCGTGGAAATTTTAAACGGGTCGCTGGCGAAAAAAAATACGTTCCTAGGAAGAACTCGTGCGCGAATATTCCCGTCGAATTCGTTCCGCGGACGCGACAATTAACGGTTACGTTGCACGACGACGAACATAGAGGAATCCTGGTTTAAATAAAACAACCGGCGTCGCCGCCGCGGAGGCTCCTTTACGAACCGTTAACTCCGTTCATCCTTGAACGTGCGACAATAACGATGGTTGTTCGTACGTTGGACAACAGGCGTAGTCACACGGCCTCGGGAATAAGGAAAATGCAAATTCGAACGGCGTTACGTGTACCGATCGCCGGTTTACGGTTAAAGACGTTGCCAAAGCAGATTTTGGCTCGACAAAGAGCCGGGGAACGAAATTTTCATGTATGCTCGATTATATCGAACCGGCGTGTAACGTTCCTTCACGTACTGTGAAATTTCGCTTGAAACGGTCGTCGAGGATATTTCAAGTATCGATAAAGACCGTAAAGCAAACAAAATGGCCTGTAGGCTTCGCGTGCCTAATGGATGATACGACTCGAACATGCTTCGCAGTAGTATGTCCCTGCCGCTTAATGGTCAGACATGAAATCGTAAATGGAGATCTCGGTGGTATTGAAAGTAAGGCAAACCTTGAACGAAAAATGGAGAACGGAGTCCGCTCGAGATACCGGCTGGCAATTTCTACGATTGTCAAGAAGTTGACGAAACGTACGGTGGTTCTTTTGTCGAGTTTCCAGGGGTAGCGAGACCGAGGCCGAGACCTATCGAGCAATCTCTTTGGGTCCCGATAATGTAGCCGTTGGGTGAGTGAAAAACGTGGACGGACGATATCCGACACAATGCGCCTTGTTCGACATCGTGACACGTCGGTTAACCGATTCGAAAAGCAATATTGGCGAGTCCGCGATACACCGAAAAAAGAGTAAAAGGGGGACCGCGAAAATCGATCGACCGACATAAACGACGAAGGCTCGACCCGAACAAAGGAAAACTATAAGTGGAGATGTTTCGAAATTTAGCAAATATCGATCTTGGAAAATAGGCTTTTAAAGTTTTTTTTTGCAAATGTTCCTCGTTTACTGATTCTGCAAAGATGGTACTGCCAAGTTACAAAATTTTTTTTATTCGCTTTTTCTATCTGGACATGGTCCAAGGATTCACCGGACTTGGCTGGACCATCGAGGATTTATCTTTCGCGACCTCTCTTCCGACAGTTTGTAATGCGAATATTTCTACCGGTTTCCGTTCACCGGTGAATGGGCTACGGGTCTTTTGGAAGCTGTCTCTTCGTTTCGATCGTTTTTGTCTAGCAATGAGCGCCTTGTGGCACGAAGCATTGAACCATGGCGACAGTTAGTTAACTATAATCGACGTCTGACCGTCGTGACGGCTTTCGCTGATCATCTTCGACACGACTCTCAATGGTATTACGAAATGAACGCTCTTCCTCGATCGCGCCTGACATAAAAAAAAGAGACACTCCGGTCTATTTCGTAATTGTTTTAGCCGGTGAATACCTGAGAATCTTAATACAGATAGCGTTGAATAAAATAAATTAGACCTTGACACATAGAATTCCGAAAAATTGAAAGTTTCCTATCCGATGTTGCCTGGCTAACGGGACCCGGTCTTATCGATAACACGATGTTGCTCGATTGCAGAGAAGACGACAGGTATGCAAAACTGGCGTGGAAAGACGTGAAGGTCGGTGACCTGGTTCACCTCTCGAACAACGAGCGAGTACCAGCCGACGTGCTGCTCTTGCGGAGCAGCGATCCACGCGGTTTGGCTTACATCGACACGTGTAACCTAGACGGGGAGACTAATTTGAAGCAACGACAGGTCGCCAGGGGCTTCGTGGACCTCCAGGACAGCTTTCAGCCCGCGAAATTCCGATCCGTGATCGAGGTCGATCAACCGAGCACGAGGATATACAGGTAAAAATTGGAATTCCACGGACGATGACGATAACCGACCAAAAGATCGGCCAAAGAAAGTTGAAAGATAACGTATTTCACGGTAGACCATCCGTTTAATTCATAAATTAGAGACCCGAACGTACGACGAAAGCGCGGATAGGTGCGAATGCTGCTCCCAGCGATTATCGATTCGGTACAAACGGCGAAAAACCGTGCGAACGTTGACGATGAACGTTTACAGGTTTCACGGAGCCGTGGTTCATCCAAACGGCGGAAGAGTACCCGTCTCCACGGAGAACCTATTACTCAGGGAATGTTTGTTGAAAAATACCGACTTCGTGGAGGGCATAGTGATATACGCCGGTCACGAGACGAAGGCGATGCTGAATAACGGCGGACCCAGGTACAAGGTAAAGATCCATCCATTCGAAAGATGCTTCCCCTACGTCGATCAGTATCACGACTTTTTTTATCGCGAGACTCGTCCGCGATTTGACCCCGGTACCGTTCAACGTCAGCTAGTCCGGATCGTGAGCGACCTCCCCCGTCGGAATCGTTGAAAGGGTGATTGTTTTCCAGCGTTCTCGTCTCGAGAAACAGATGAACAGGGACGTGATATGGTGCGTGGTGATATTGGCGGTGTTGTGCGTGATCGGCGCGACCGGATGTCGCCTATGGCTGTCCGAGTACTCCGACCTGACGTTCGTCCCGTTCATCCCGGTCCTCCAGGATCCCAGTTACGAGAGCATGCTGACGTTCTGGACGTTCGTGATCATTCTACAAGTGATGATACCCCTCAGCCTGTACGTCACCATAGAGATGGCCAAAGTGGGGCAGGTCTATCACATCGGTCACGATATCGGTCTGTACGACGCGGACGCTGGACGACCGGCCGAATGTCGCGCGCTCAATATCACCGAGGAATTGGGTCAGGTAAGGTGGATTGATCAAGGCACGACGCGTGGGATCTCGATTGAGAAGCGCGCGTTCCATTGTTCCGATAGGTGCAGTACATATTCTCCGACAAAACGGGCACCCTCACCGAAAACAAAATGCTGTTCAGACGGTGCGCCGTGGGCGGGCAAGATTACTCGCACACCGGCGTCGACGACGAACACCTGACGCCCTCCTCGCGTCTGAAGGAAGACCTCCTCATAGGTACATTCAGGCAACATCTCCAAGAATTCCTAGTCGTATTAGCGATATGTAACACCGTTGTCGTAAACTCTCAACCCCATTACGACAACATGAACTCCAGCGGGGTGATCGAGGAGCCGCGAAAAAATGGCGACGAAACCGGAAAGTTCGTACACGAGTCTCGCTACCGGCTATCAAGTCGTATAAAATTGTTGTTTACAGTTTGAACCCTATTACAGGTATACGAGGATGATAGAAAGCAGGAGTCTGACCCCGTCGCCGGTCATCCCTTTGTCTACCCTTTCGCATCCGACGAACAGTCTCGACGAGAACGTGTCTTCGATATCTTCGATGGTGGAAATGGAGTCTGTGCTGAACAACACCACGAAACTGTCCAACAAATTGTCCAGGTTATTATTTGTTTCTCGTTGTCTTTGCACCGATGCTAGTTCGAGGTTCGTTTGATCCGCAGGCCGAAATTCCTGAACGTGACGTCGATACCGAGCTTAGGTATGGGACTGCTGGGAAGGAAATGGTCCCCGAACGGGGCCCAGAGAAGACGCAGCCCGCTGAGTCACGTTATCGACGCCAGCGGGAAGAACGGAGACGAATTGTTGCCGACGCCGGCGATCTACGAAGCGGAAAGCCCCGACGAGCTCGCATTGGTGAACGCGGCTCGCCTGTACGACGTGAAACTTCTTAAACGAACGGCCCGTAGCGCGATCGTGTGTCTGCCGGATAAATCTATCCTCACTTTCGAAATTCTCCATGTAAGCACGTTACGGATAATCGGTTTTCCGAGTCGTGTCACTTTCTCCGTAAGAAAGCCAACCCGAAGAACTTTGAAACCCAAAACCTTGGGAATTCTTCGGGCGCTGGATCCTCGATGTTACGCTTCACCGAACCAAACCAGACGCGTTTGGAATTGCAGGTGTTGCCGTTCGACTCGAACAGAAAGTGTATGTCCATCGTGGTGCGCCATCCCCTGACGAACGAAGTGGTGTTGTACAGCAAAGGGGCAGACAGCACCATACTGTCCTCCCTGACTCCCCAGGAAGAGAGTTCCACGACTACCATGAAGGTTCGACAGCATTTGCAATCGTACGCGCGTCAAGGTCTTCGAACCCTCTTGATGGCCAAGAAGTCTCTGACCGCGCAAGAGTACGAAACGTGGCGACAAACGCATACAGAGGCGGAGCTAGCGATGGAGAACCGCGAACGTCGAATCAAAGAGTCGTACGCGATACTCGAGTCCCGTTTGACGCTTCTGGGAGCAACCGGGATCGAGGACAAGCTCCAGGCAGGCGTACCGGAGACCATGGCCACCCTGATGGCGGCGGGGATCGTTATTTGGGTTCTCACAGGTACTAGCTTCGCGAAACGTGCTTTAAAGGGTCGCGCCACCTTGGAGGCACCTCCGCAAATTTTTCTTGGACAACGTTACAACCCCCGATTGAAATAAATTCCATTTGTAACGACGTTCGTTGTATCCGCGTTTGACCAGTGACTTTCTTATCGATTATATTTGCTATAAATTCACTATGGGATGCACGATCAAAGTGCAAAGTCTAAGACACTGTCGCTAATGATCGAAAGAATCATAATCTTGCGCAGTTAACGTTCGCGTGGACCAAGCGGCTCGGAAGCTTTCGAACTATCATTGTACGAGAAAGAAACGATGTCTCTCGGCCGCTAGGGTGGCGTGACCCCCTAATTATACACTTTGAAGCACGTGGCTAACAGATGCTTTGAATTGGAAGGGGACAAACCAGAAACCGCAGTGAACATTGCATACTCAGCGCGTCTTTTTTCGCCCGCGATGCAGTTACTGTGGCTGCAAGCAAGGTCCAAGACCGTCGCCGAGGCGTTGATCCGCGGGTACCTTGAATCCGCGAGGAGAGAGAGCATGATTCACGGTAACGAACGGAGGGGAATCGATAGTATCAGGGACCTTGCAATGTTTAATCGCGACACGGCGGAGAACGACGCCCACAGAATAGACAGCCCATGGCCGAAGCAAAGGGCGCTCGTCGTGGATGGGAAAACATTGACCGTGATCCTTGATCCACGCTCAGGATTGACGCGACCGTTTCTGGAGCTGACGAAGACGTGCTCCAGCGTGCTGGCCTGTCGGGCTACGCCTCTTCAGAAGGTACGATGAGAATTTAATTCCCTTGCTTTTTTCTCTTCCATGCTTGTTCCACGCGTAAAATGCAAATGTCTGTGTATATTTTAGGCGTACATCGTGCGAATAGTGAAGGAACAGCTGGGAATGAGAACCCTGGCGATCGGCGATGGCGCGAACGACGTTAGCATGATTCAGACCGCGGACGTAGGTGTCGGGATCTCAGGGAACGAGGGCACACAGGCGGTTATGGCCGCGGACTTTGCCATCACGCGATTCTCGATGCTCAGCAGGCTTTTGCTGCTGCACGGCCATTGGTGTTACGACCGTTTGTCTAGAATGATCTTGTACTTCTTTTACAAGAACGCCACCTTCGTCTTCCTCGTGTTTTGGTTCCAGGTACCAATAGAAATTTAACGCATGCCAAAACAACCGGGTTCTCGTAACTCCCGGGACAGATCTCGATCGATAAATAGCGACTTGGTTCTTCCGTATGGCGAGTACCATCTGTCCTGCGAGTCTTGAACGATATTTTTTACTTTGCTGCAGCTGTATTGCGGTTTTACCGGAACAGTAATGGTGGACCAGATTTACTTAATGCTGTACAATCTCATGTTCACGTCTATGCCGCCGCTGGCATTGGGCATATACGATCGAATAGCTTCGCCCGGCGTTTTGTTATCTGTGCCGCAGCTGTACAAAAGGGGGCGACTTGGACTTATCTATCAACCTCATTCGTTCTGGCTGACGATCATCGATGCGTTGTACCAAAGCATCGTTATATTTTTCGTGAACGAGAATGTTAGTAGAGTTTCGAAGCAACGTAAAATCTCGCAGGTAGATACACCGTCGAGTAAACCGGTTGGTTCGTTTGTTTAGGTGTTCTACGACACGACCGTCGATATATGGGAGTTCGGAACCACCGTAATGACGTGTTGCATCGTTGTTATGCTGACCCACGTGGCCATAGAAATTCGATCTTGGGTAAGATGCATCTTCGTGAACGGTATCTCGAAAACTGTATTGCCGAGTAACGCACCCTACAGAACATTACTGCGTTTCAGACCATAATCCACGTTTTTGCCATAATGGGATCGTTATCCGTATTTTTTGGATTCTGTTTGATTTACAATGTGGTGTGCGTTAATTGTATGGGCCTTCTATGCTCGTACTGGGTAATGGAAACGGCTGTTGTGAGGCACACGTACTGGCTTACGGTAATACTTACTTGTGTTCTGGCGCTGTTGCCTAGGTACGAATTTAAAACCGTAAACGTAATCTTAAAATTAAAGTCCGCCTGGCCTAGATGCTGCTATTGTTACTTTATCTCCAGGTTACTGCATAAAACTATAAAGTCCACGCTATATCCAGATCTCACGCAAAGCGCCACGTTCAAGGTACCACTGAAAACCGGAAGCCATCGACAACGAATCGCTGAAAGGAGCGAGAATAATTTTATCGCTGGTTGGTCGCGTTCAACGCAGCATGCTACCATAAGGTAGCTGCGATTATTATCGTTTTACTACAGAATAAGAATCATCACTCGATCTTTACACCAGTTTTTGTCGCGTTCTGTGTGTTTTAGAACCGGAAGTAAGAACGACACGTTGACGACGATCGTTGCATGACATATCCTGAAGCGTCGAGCAAGACTGTTGGCATTGTTAAAGCTGCCGAAAAAAGGAGCAACGTCCCACGTCGCATTTCAACCTTTACTGTTCCTAAGGATCGAAGTATTAGGGAGCTTACGTTAACTCGATGAATGCTTTACTTTATCGATACCGTGTTGTTTGTTGTGATCGTCATCTATTCGTATCGATTAGTGTTTTTAGTTGAATCGAGTGGCCTTACATTTCAGACTACTGTTCGTTGCATTTGATGGCTGTGACATTTAGGGACCAAGACTGTTTAGTCCGATAGTAACGTCGGTGTCCATCGACGGGTCGAGCAAACGGTCCGGACTCATCCGGAACACGAGTTGCATACCGGATCAATTAGAGAGTAACTCGGGTCGCAATTTCCCCCCTAGAAATAAGCGTATTGTAAAAAGATACATGAAATGTATATTGCCTTGTACGAAGTTCATGTTGTATAAATGATATATTTACGTTACTATAACGCAAACGGGTGTTGTATACTTCTTACGTTCGTGTTCGTACATTATTACTATAATTACTAAAGCGTAAGTATATAGAAATACCCGATTGGCGGCCTGGCATTGGCGACGTCGCGCTCTGCCAATCGGAAACCAACCGTGTCGGTCCGCCAATGAGACGGTTTCGCGCCTCGTGACTTTTGCTCCACGGTCTACGAATTCCTGTATATTGAACGTTATCAACGTTATCAACGTTGCAGGTGTCGATATAATATTTCGATAAACGATTAAATAGCAGATGCGCGCGTGTAGAGACGTCAGTAAACTCGAGTGTTCTCCAATCCACCGCGTCTCGTCGATGTGTCCCTCTGGGTCTCCCGCGACCCCTGCGTTCCTCTTTTCACGAATTCCTCGTTCCCCCCCACGAGTTGCAATATTAACACGTGCTCCACGTTCGATTCTTGCCCAGACGCGACGCTCTCGCTTTTCCCGGGGATTAATTTTTTAGGCTTCCTTCCCCGCCAGACGCACAATGCCAGCCATTCATTCCGATACGGCGACACAGACACGCTGATTGTGCACAATGTAGACGACCCACGGCGAAACGAATTTCTAAACAGTTCGCAAACGCATCAAAGATTCAAGAGCGGGAGGTTTTGCCGCGGGGCCGTGCCCCTTCTCCCTCCGTTACCAGTGCCAGTGATTTGCGTAGATTCGAAATGGTTGGCGGTGAGCACCACTGTACGATGCGGAAACACGGAACGATGGTGGGGATGGGATAGAAAGGCCGTAGGTGAAGTACCGGGGGATCTTTTGGTGTGCTGCGGCAACGGTTCTCTCTCAGTCCATGCTCGGTGTTCCTTCCGCCGAACGGATCGTCGCCGGTTTCTCTGCGTTCGACTTCATTCATCGCGTTCGGTTTGATCGCGATCGTGCCCGTTCGGGAGACTCGCGACCAGCTGTGACATCGCGAATATTCTGTGAAACCGTGCCCCGTTGAACGTAAACCCCCGGTCGGAGGGACGCAAAACAGGAGACACGATCGTTTTGAAAAGGTTCGTTCGACCCGCGGTGCACCGTTCTCCTTTGTCACGAGATTTTCGTGCCGCTCTACAACTCTGTACCGAAGTTTTTTTCGTTTTTTTTTTTTTTGAATGGATTTGCGGTCCGTACCACGCTGGACCGGTTTTACCAGATCAATAGAGTTTTCGCGTTTTTTCGACAATCGTCCAGTCGGTCTCTCAGTGAGTTGGAGTTTAGGGTTTCATGACGTTTGAACGGAAGGATCTTTCCCGACTGTGGGCGGCGTGGAGACAGTCCTCGATGCTGTTTCGTACGCGTCGAAAGTGTTTGTAGAAAATTACGCAGGAATACGTTGATTCACTGTTCGCGTGCGATCATCGTGCTTTCTCCCCTGCGTCATCCCGGTTTCTCCCTGATTGCACACACGTGCTCGCCGCGAATGTTAGGGACGCGATCCCTCCTCGTTGTTTCGATCTTCGCTAAGCGATAACTTGTTGTTCCACGCGTTAAGTGCATGACGCAAACGTACCCGAACCATTGGGTAACGACTCGCGTGCAAGGTCGATGTTAATGTGTCATTTTTTTCGAATAGAAACTTTCTAGCGGTCGGTCGAGTCACAAAGTCGCGCGGACCCCGCGATTTTCACGATCGAAACCACGGACGCGGAAGCGAATATTTGTCAGCGGGGGGGAATCAGCGGCGTGATACAACGAAACGAATCGAATTCTTTTAAGCGAAATTCCGTGCAACCTTGTCGGAAATAATGGTCGAGTCTGATGCCGAGGCATTGAATCGGGGCTAGACGGTCATGAATACACGGCGCACGATAAGAGGACTCGTACACAAAATTATGTTTATCGGCGCGTATAACTTTGAATTCGTACCGCGCTGCGAATTTTAAATTCAAGCTTTCCAACTAAACGCATGCAACGTTGCTTTTTCGAGATAAATTGGACCGTGAACTACCAAAGCAGTCAAAATTACCTATTCGTAATTTCTAACAAAACTGATAAAAAATTTACCATAGTTTTCTATAAGAGTACGAATATACACTTATTTCCATTGCATTGTACGTTTCTATTGTTTTAATTTCTTTGGTATAAATAGGTATGCTATAACTGTCGGTAGTTGTAGTGTTAAAGGTCCAAAGTAGATTAACGACGCTCGAGTAATCGATGTCAAGACGCGGTATTTAAGTTAAACGAAAGCATGGAAAATTGTGTCGAATCAGGAGATAGGTGGGATCGATAGGAACATGATTTCAGTCGTAATGTCTTTTTGCCGCGTTCGCGAGGCAAATCTCCCGCTGCGCGGCCGCTCGACCGCAGAAAAACCATGCGTGACATCGCGTGCCCGGCTGCAGGAAAGAGCATAAAAGTCCCTAACGCGTTGCAGTAGGTTTTCCATGGACGTTAAAAGTCGCGGTTATTACTCCACTGTCTACTGATCGTCTTTTTCCAATCTCTACGAGCATCTACGATACTTGCTCCAATTTTAAACCCACCGCTCGCAGTACATAGAATGCGCGAACGTGACGTTGTAAATAAAGGACGTGTCTCGACTCGAATTCGATTTGTATCGAACTAAATTTCGGATTTCGGACTTTTGCATTTCGTAACGCGCGTCGTCGGTGCACAGCCTGCTCCGTTTTCTCGTGCGACGAGTTAACACAGAGGTTTGAGAACGCAAATGTGGAGCAGGCCGGTGGTACGATAACGGGTGGCCTGTAACGCGATAACGATCCATTCGCAAGGTTACGAATCGAGTTTACTGTCACGATTACGACGAAGCGTTCCTATCGATGGCGGTTAGAAACCGCGGACTGCATATAGCCCGTGAAATATAGAACGAAAATGAGTCATTGCACCGAGACAGAAAGCGGACGACAAACGCTCGACGATTTGGCACCGTTTGGCGTCGTTTGTCCCCGGCCCTCGAGCACGCACGATGTAGTACGCGATGCTCATTCAACGTATGCTATTCAGTTTTAGTTCGCGGTTCGAGCATCGAGCGATGTTCCAGATTATCCACGTTCCCGTCGTGTCGATATTCAAATTCCACGCGGTTTCGATATTGCCCGGTATTCGCGACCGCGTTGCACACGCTTCGACTGTTGCATTCAGATATCGGAAATGGGGGAAATTTTACTCGATCAACATCCCGAAGATTCAATGACAATGATGTCGCGTGGACGATATAAAAATGCATCGCGCGCGTAAGAGAACCGCAAGGCTCGCGGATGCGTTCTTTCTAGCCGTGATTTCCGCTGATCGTAGATAAGATTCGTATCGACGAATAGGGTTACAAAACATCGTCTACGCTCTTCGATCATCGTCAGTGATTCACCGGGCGCGAGTCAATATTTAATTGAAGTCGACGACGCTGGTGACGTTACAGATCCCACCTGTGGAGCTCGTCGAAACGGTCACGAGTCTACGGAGCTTTGCAGTGAAAAAGAAAACCGGAAGCAGCGCGGACGATTCCTTGTTGCGAGAATTTCGAGCGTCGAATGGTACCAGCCTGTTTTCCGGTTCCGAGCGCGAGGAAAGTGCGTGACATCGGTGGGGCGGAATCGTTCCACGCGCCAGAGGATCGAGATCGAAGTCGGGTTCGAGAATCGATGTCGAAGTCGACGCGGGGCACCGAGTAACGGCGCGAAAGCCAAATCAAACGGAAGAGATCGGCGTTCATTGAGCGCGGCGCGGCTCGTTTCGAGCGAGTGCACCGACAATTACGTAATCCTAGGACAGAGAGTGAGACGGAGACCTCGTGCGAGACGCGACGAGGATGACCTTCGCAGACTTCTCATCTGTCCGTGTATCGTCGAGAGAGAAGAAGCCCGAGATAAGGCCAACCGCGAACTAATTAATATCTAGCCGCGATCGTTCCGTCCAGTCGAGTCGAGTCGGATTCGGATTCGGATTCGAGCCGAAGAGGAGAATGTCGACGCACCGCTGGCAGAAGAGATGACTCCTGAAAGAGGTCTACCTGGCAAGAAACGCTGAGGCAGCCGCAACCGGGGCTATCGTCGATCCTCGCCGCGCGTCAGGTGCTCCCTGAGAGATGACGGTCACTTACACTGCCGAAGTCGCTACCTGCAAAGGTCTCGGTTGCTTTCTAAAATTACTCCTAAGGTAAGCGCTTCTCAGTTTTGGCTCGACCAAACGCCGTGACGCTCCTCGCGATTAATATTCTTTGCTCGACAGGCCCGTTGAAAACGCTTTTCTTTCCTTTCGACAGAGTCGTTCGTTTGCTATGCCTTTGTGTATACAGACGAGACAGTAGACACGTGAACACCAAAACATTAGGCTTAGGCACGACGAGAAATAAATGAATTTTTAATACGATCTACCAACGATCGATATAAAATGTTCCTCGGAACGTTGATAGATTCCTGAATTTTCCAAGAAGTTTGATTCCTCGAGAGTCATAATAAAGAGGGCAGAACCAAACTACGTGGTCAATGACCTGGTTAGCGTCGCCGCACGAACAACTGGGGTCGGTCAGCAGGTCAGCCAGAGAGATTCTAACGATCCGACCTGGAGAGGGTCGATCGTAACAATCGAGTCGCGTGGGTAGCCTTGTTTGCCAAATCCAGGGCTTCGATTCGCTTCTCGCAAAAGTGTCGGAAGCAGAGCTCCATTTGTACGGAGCTCTTTCCATCCGCGTAACAGGAGACCATCGATCAATCCCTGCTTTAAACTTCTCGTTCGTACGGTATGAAAATAAAAGAGTCCGTAAAGAGCTGTTACTCGCAAGTGACGCGCCCACATCTCCGCGACTCGAGCTCCGAGAGCATAATCGTGTCCTCGATAAATTACATAATTCGTGCCGGGTTTGGAAACATGGGAGGAAGAGTTGATGGAATTTATTAGCGTTTCCGATAAGGCTAAAATTTACACAGCCTAGAATTTGACAGGTTCTAGCATCGTCCGGAGGTCGATTATTTCGACAGTTAGCTAATACATTTATCAGCAGCCATCTGGCAACGAATATACAACATGTTGCCCCTTCTCAGAGTACAATTAATCGTAAAAAATAGATTAACTTAACGGTGACTGATAAGAACGTGTTACCTCGTTGCTAATGATTTTGCCTCGATCGTCGCTCGAAAAATCTAGTCAACGATGTATACAAAATCGCTTAGATAATTCTCGTTACGGTGGTTCGGCCATGCAGCATTCATTAGCGAGTAAACAAGAGATTTCTCGGAGTCGTTGTTACGGCTGAAAATGATGAATTGTACTCCCCTGAAAGAATCGATGATTCGACGCACTGTAAGATGTAATTAGGTATAATTGCTCCGAGAAGCTTGTTGAATGGTATTCTGAACAGTTTCGTCATGTTACTCCACGATCGCGGAAGAATTCCGTTGACAAGTGTGCGTCACGTGTCAGCGAAGGATACGGAGAGGCTCGAAGTATGCGATCGTTCGAAGGCCTGGCACGAGGAGGCCGCTATCGAGCATCGTGTAAACGAGTACACACGCGGATCGTGTCACCAATTTTCCCCGTACTTGACGTATTTATTAGCCGAGCAATAATTCATCAAGGGTTTTGTTCGTTTCGCGCGACGAGCTCGTGTTTACAATATTCGCGAGTCTCTCGAATCCTATCTCTGCCGACGGTGAAAATCCCACGGTCGTTCGCGACGTCTCGTTGCCTGTGGAAATTATTTCCTCGTTTTGGCATTGCTAATCCGCGACAGTGGACTTCCGGGTCGCTGACCTTTCTATTATTATCCCCGTAACTCTTAAATTGCACGCGTGTCGATTGCCTTCTTCCATCTCCTTTTCTTGATTTTTCCTCGTCCCTGACGATATCGTCGTGGAGCACAGTACCAAGAAGGCAATATAGAAGATCCGCTCTCAAAGTATTTTTTTTACCAATCAATTTATGCTTTACTGTTTTCACGAACGAGTAAATTTTAACGCGGTCGGGGTCTCTCGCGATCGATCGTATCTCTTTCGAGACAGAACCGCGGTTTCATGCGACAGGCGTGCGCGAAGAACAATGGGGAATTGTGCGATCCTGCGTCGCCATCAGGGACGATTTAATTATAAAATACTTTGCGGGCCTGAGTGTGCTCGCAGCCGCCGGGTGCTCGAGAAAATCTCGAGACAGGAAAGAAATCTCGTAACCGGCTTTGGAATCCATCCAATGCTCTTTGTAATTACGTGGCCACGCGTCACGCGTTCCTCGAACGACACTATGTATTCGGGTATCATTTTTCTGGTACCCGCGTCACAATCATCGACGGACCCGTATCTAACCCAGATACGGCTCGAGCGCTCAAAGACGCTTTCCGTCGATGCTTTTGCAGCTCGAAGGAGTACAACGAAATTCCCCGAAATCTTGGGATTTGTTCGTTAATCTCTCCTTGTGCAACGAGGAGTCGTAACTTGTTCGTTCCAAGTTTCACAACTCCCTGTACTTTTCCGCGAACGCTACACAGAATTTAAATCGTACTGTAAAAAGATAAATACTTTATCGGGTGTCAGATTCGTTCGAATCTTGAGTAGCGACATGTAGCCAGCGATTGTTTCCTGTAATATTGCGATAATTAGATTTTTTCCGTTGCGTATCTTTTATCAATTTTCATCGAACACTTCATTTCTTAATGAGTAAATGATAAACGCGAAAAGGTAAATCAAAGAAGCGTGCACGGAGCTCGTCGAGCGGAAAGAAATATTACAGGTGTCCGTGTACTCGTTTCCGGTATCGGGGAAAGTATTCCGAGAACCTACGAGTCGAAACCCGATATACTGTTTGCGTAGACATCTTTATTCTTATTTCCGTGAATCAACACCTTGCGTTAATCAGCTTGGCCGATATTGCGCGATCAAGCCGTTATTTTTGGATTCGAGTTATTTAAAAGTATCCTGCACATGTTTATCGCGACGGATCTTGTCGATCGACTTATCAGCGAAGCATCGTAGACGCTCGGATCGATACGATCGATCGATAAGAGTTAAGTAACGTTATCGTGGTTTCCACCGTTGAAAAAAACATACCACGAACGACGTTTCTAGTCGGTTTTATCTAAATCGTTTCCCTCATTATATTCTATTTTCAGATGGCGGGCAAGCATATACAAGCTCGTCTGGCTGGACCTGGCCCTTTTCCTCTTCATATACTACTCGTTGTCGAGCATCTATCGTCTGTTGCTCGACGACGATCAGAAGAAGATTTTCGAGGCCGTGGTAGCGTACTGCAACGAGTACAGCGACCTAATACCGTTGTCTTTCGTCCTTGGTTTCTATGTCAGCATCGTTATGACCCGATGGTGGAATCAATACATGGTGATACCGTGGCCGGACTCCATCGCCGTCTTCGTGTCGGCCACTATCCACGGGAACGACGAGAGAGGTCGATTGATGCGTCGAACCATCGTCAGGTACATACCGTGGAACCTCGGTTAATGCAATTTTAATTGTTACTGCTCTTTATACGATAGTTGTTCCAACAAATAACACGCAAAGTTACATAATATATTCGATATTCCCGTAACTGCGAATTTATACCGAAGCAGCTGCTGAACCGTCTTGATCGAAACGAACAAGTTGTTATTTGTTAAGTCAACGCGTGTCCACTAACCCTTTGCACTCGCTATGTCGAGTAGTGATTCGATGTAAATTTTGATCAAATAATTCTATGACATTTTTTCAAGTCGAAACCAAAGAGATATCGTACACTCGAAAGTTACAAAATACAACAACAGTGTAAATAAAACAGATATTTTAACAGGTAAATTTCAAACAAAACACTTAAAAGCTTTGGGAGCTGCTGGATAACAAGATCGAAATATAATACGGAGTGCAAAGGGTTAATGGATCACGAGTTTGGCTCGATATCGTGAAGCAGTTTGTCTGAGAGAATACTCTGTTCTCGAGGCAAAGATCGAGTCGTGCCGTTTCAGATACGTATGCGTCTGCCTGACCCTGGTCCTGGCGATGATCTCGCCCCGCGTGAAGAAACGGTTCCCCACGTTGGAGCATTTCGTGGACACCGGTTTGCTGCTGGAGAACGAGCTGGTGATATTTCAGAGCCTGAACTCGAAGTTCCCGAAGCCTAGCAAGCACTGGCTGCCGATCGTCTGGGCGTCGAGCATCGTGACACGTGCCAGGAAGGAAGGTCGAATCCGCGACGATTTCGCGGTGAAGACGTTGATCGACGAGCTGAACAAGTTTCGCGGCCTCTGCGGCAACCTCATGCACTACGATACCATCAGCGTGCCTCTGGTTTACACTCAGGTGAGCGCCGCGCTACGTGCAAACGGAATTCGCTCTCTCGAGACGAATTTTTATTCCCATTCGGGGAGCAAGAATTCGCCCAACCTTGCAACCAGTGCCAGATAACGATCAAATGTATGCGGATCGCCGATACCGTAGACCACGGCGCAACACAAATTCCCGTAACGCGCCAAAGATATTGCGACCACTTTTTTTTAAACCGCGAGGCCAACGGAAGAATTTTGTTCGAATAAAATCGAGGCTCGTTGAATCGTTCTTTTCGCAGGTGGTAACGTTGGCCGTGTACACGTACTTCTTGACGAGCGTGATGGGTCGCCAGTGGGTGCAGAATTCGTCCACGTCCACGTCGAAGATCGATCTCTATTTTCCAGTATTCACGACGCTCCAGTTCTTTTTCTACATGGGCTGGCTGAAGGTCGCCGAGACTCTAATCAATCCGTTCGGCGAGGACGACGACGACTTCGAAGTGAACTGGATAATCGACCGGAATTTGCAAGTAAAACGTCTTTGCAATCGTTGAACAATTATTACCCTCGCGAGGCGGGGAAAGAACGTCGTTGACGGCGCGTTTTGAGGCGTCTCGGTGTATATACCGCGTGTTCCTGTTTGGAAGGTGAGCTACCTAATCGTCGACGAGATGCACCACGAGCATCCGGAATTGATTCGCGATCAATATTGGGACGAAGTCTTTCCTACGGAGCTTCCGTACACGGCTGCCTCGCAGGCCTTCCGCGAGGAACACCCGCAGCCGTCCACGGCCGGGATTCAATTGTCCGCGGCGCAGCAAGAGCTTCAACCATCTTCTGTTAGGATCGACGAAATGGCGGGGAATTATCAACAGAAATTCCGGCCAGACGACACGGCTGACGACGCCGCGTCCGGTATACATTTCACGGCCACGGGAAAAATGTCAAGGTTGGTTCTCGAGCAGCGTAACATTACGAACGCTTTACGCTCACGCGACGCGGGTTTTTTTTTTTTCTCGGAAGCTCCGCTATTATTATCGATCGAACAGTTTAACATTTCTTGATAATTAGAGGGCGGTAAAAGTTCAGCTTTTGATCCAGCGGATTCAAAAAGAGATTCAGAGACGTCTGAGTGGGTTTGTTGGGATACCAGTAATTAAAAGTTGCGAAACTTTACAGGGCTTCGATACAATTGTAATCTGGAAACTTCAACCCTTACGACTTTACATAATTATTCAATTCCCTGTGTTTGCAAAACAGTCTTCGTTACCCAACAACAGTAAATTTTGCATATAATTTACATTTGTACTAATAATAAAATCGAATGGGATCGCTTGTAAGCGGCTTGATCAACAGTTATGAAAGTTGCTAATTACATTCTGTAAGTTATAGTCTATAATTCGTTAAAACATTTAAAACAGTTGCCCCATCTGAATCAACTATTTTCCAAATATCTTAAATTAATTTCCTCTGATTATCTGTGAAGCAACTTAAAATATGATTTCGTTTACCCCGAAAGCTGATCGATCAATAGCAATCGCGGAGCTTGTTGAAGCACGAGGTGCAGATGTATCGTCAGTGTATACCGTACTAAAACTTTTCTTACGCACTTACGCTTTTAACGCATGATCCAGGAGCGCTACCGAAAGTGTCAAAATAGCGAGGTAATACGTTTGCTTTTCCAACGGTCCTCGTTCCAGTTACAAAACGAAGCGTCGTTCGAGGGCCGTTTTTTATGGAACGGGAAGTGTATGTTTATTTGTAGGAGCGCCAGCAGAGTGAGCAATCGTGATCGCACTTTGAGCGGGGGCTCCACGCCCAGCAACCTGGGTGGTTCATTGACGAGAGTGAACAGCGTGACCAGCGTGCTGAAACGATTGTTCAGCAAGGAGGACAGACCGGATGGCGGGCTGAACAGCGGCACCAAAACGCCCGCAAGACTAGCCGCCTCCAGCTCCGCCGCCTCCTTGCAAAATCGAGCAGTTGGTACGTCGACTTATTTAACCCCTTAACGCTCATATTTTTCGGGTTAACCAAGAATGATCAGTTTTCTTTATTGGATTTGTTTCTAAAAATGCGGTTTTTCTTAATTACAATGTTGTATTCAACGTATAATTTGAAGGGAAACAAATATTATCATCCCTTAAACCATTAGATTAAACAAATATCGTTTTTCAAAGCAGTCAGACTCGAGCATGAACGTTAAGGGGTTAACTAGCTAAAGACCAAAAGATCACCAAACGTTTCCGTAAACGATATTTTCTGTGAATTCGATTGTCAACAGTCGGAGGTGGTTCGATGAGGATAGGAGTGATAAAGGAAGAGGCGGACGAGCAGATGACCCTGACGTCGATGAAGTCGGACAAGAGGCCTCACGTGCAGAGTATATTCTCCCCGGGACCACCGCCTCCTAGTGCACCAGTCGCTGTTCCCGGGTCGGAGCACTCGCGTAACGGGGAGTTGTTCTCGATCAGTGCCCCCGTGACAGGTGGCATATTGGAAGAAGGCAGCGGGAATGGTAGCGTCAACGACAGGAGATACGTGACTGGACCAAGGTTAACATTCGTCCCGATGGCGTTTCGATTCCGAACGTTTTCATAAATGATACGTGGAAATTGTTGGGATTTCAGGGCGGAACGAACCACGCAATCGGCGCGTTCCAGCATCGCTTACGAGCCAGCCATCAGCTACGTCGGAAGCGTAATCGCGGACGACCTTATCAGCACTCGTAGCTCTTCATGCGCGAGCGTAAATTCCGACGACGAGTTCACGAAGCTGAAGACGGAACGGGAGAAGCAAAGACGGGACAGGGTGGTAAGACGATTGGCCAGGAGCTCCAGCGGGCAAAATAATTTGATCGGTGGACAATCGAGGAGTCCCCTGGACACGGAGCACCTTTTGCTGTCGGAACTGGCGAACGCGTCGCGGTTATCCATGGTGCAAATAGATGGGGAGGAGAAGGCGGTCGAGAGCGGTCGTCTTTAGCAAAATTTTCGATGGTTGTACTTCGAGGTTTAGTTTTCCAAGTTCCCCTCGGGCCCCTCCGCGCCAGGATATTTAAATAGAAAGACTAACGACCGGTCGAACGGTCGACGATAGTATACGAGTTTTGACGCAACTTTACAATTGTCAAAAATCGATTCAAACATTTTCTGTACATACGAACTTTTTACTAAAATGAAAGTAATAGGTGGACCGAACGACGCAGCTGACGATAGACATTTGCGAAAGGCTTTGAAATTGCACGAACCCGAGTTCAAATAGAATCGAAATTGATTAGGGGGAAAAAAGTTATAGTGCCTGTAGAAGTAGTTTGTAAAACATTCCGTCAACGGAAGCACGATGCCTGGCTTTCTCTAATAAAAATATGGATTTAAAGATAGGATTACGCGAGTCGTGCTTAGTGGAACACTTTGCTACTACGATTTTACACGCATTGGAAATTTATTCTACGCTCGGGCAAAACGAGCAGAACGATTCGCACTCTGTACAACTTCTACAGCTTCTTTAATACTGGAGCCTGACGGCCGTCCGTTGAAAGGTTGTTCAAATATTGCACGCGATGTCCAAAGATTAAGTTTGTAACATACAGGTGCAAGCGCGAAAGTAATTATCGCTGAAACGATGGATTCGCTGTATATACCGGCATAGCTATCGCATAAAATTCTACGTGTCTATAATGTGACAATAATCGCGGGGAACGTTGCCATCGATCGACGCCTTGAGGGAATTCAATTTTACACATCTACGTTTAGCGAGTAATGCAACTTGAATCGATTCTAAATTTACGAAAACTTGTAAATAATAGGCTCAATTGTAACGTTTCACGAGCAATAATTTTCGTTTTTTATATTCCGTAACTATCGGTATAAAAAACGAGGGAATGTAGATATTAGCGGATAACTTAACAGGTAACGTTATTGGAACACAGTTTTATTTAATTAATTTCGTTTTAAAATAATACGAAAATCGTCTTACATCGATCGGTACGTGTGAAATAGTTCGTCGAGGAATTTTCGAACGAATCTAATTTGTTAAATATAAGCAACGACCATTATACTTTTTGTGGTTACGAATCGACGAAAGTATATTAAAAGTGCCTGCGTTGTGCCCGCCTGTATCTGGTACTTGACTTACTCGTATCGTTAAATAACTCAAATTTCTACTACTTCGATGTTACGTTTAAAAAAAAAACGAAGAATAAACGTGCTCTCTTCGGAGCAACGCGTTCGTGCACGCACATTCCAGGAATCGTAAAGGAATTTAGGCTGAGAACAAAGTCGATAAAACGATCGCACATTTACAGGATAAAGTTAATTTGATAGTTCTCTTACATTTGTATTTATGTTACTTGTACTTACGATTATTCAATTACTTTCAACGAATGTAGCGTAATTGCGAATCGGTACGCAATGTGCAAGACAAGCGAAAGTTTAGGATAAACTTGAAACGCCATCGCACGTCAGTAAATTTTATACTACGAATAATAGACGAAATAAACATTCTAAGAATTCTGAAACGTACACTTCTATAGTGTACATCGTATGCGTATGCTTCACATGAGCGTACAATTGCATAGCCTAATTGACACTCGTTTACTGCCTGTGTATAGTTCACGTTAGACATTTTGTCTTTCATTTTGGAATTACATTCCAGGGGCGTGGATAAATCTTATGGTGCTCATGGTTCAGCAATTCGTTTAACAGTATTACGGTATTGGACTACCTTCTCGGAATGTCTATCAGAAATGTTAATTTCTTCTGAATAAACACGAGTGACTTTCAAATACGGTGTTGGTAATAATTTCGGCGTTCACGTCGCGACGACATCCAATTCCATTCGGTTCCCGCTAAATAAAATTGCCTTCCGGTCTTCTAATATTTAGAAATATTCCAATTTTTGAAATTTTATCGCTTAGTTGTATCGGATTATCCTTGTATTTATTGGTTTTGTACGTATTTCTGTAATATGTCTCCCTCATCCATCAGGTTTACGACCGAAGAACATTGTTTGAATATTTACGGAGATCCGTTAATGCAAGAAACGTTTAATAGATAAATAGTCGAGCATCGTTTAGAAAATTAGTATTTTCGTTCGTTTGAATCGCCTCGCGGCAAAGATAGTTACCGCGACGGTCGCTAGATGTCGCGAGAGATGTCACGATCGTGAAAAGGGACGGGATTCGTGCAGGGTCGAGGGTGTTCGGGCGAGATCGTGAGTCTTCGTTCTGTTTCGCGTGCAGGCGTCGGCAGCAGGGAGAGTGGGGGCCATCGTCAGTGGGTAGCCGTCGGCGAGAGGTGGCGGAGGTTTTGTACGGTGAAGAAAAGAGGGGTTAAGTGAGCCGTGCCGGGCCGTAGAAGCGAGCTAGCGGTGGCGCGGCCCGTGCTCGTGCCATAGGACCTCTGCCAGGCAGTAGTGCGTTCGTTTACAAGATGGCAGACGGTCCGTCCGCGGACGACGCGGCCACCGACCTGGGGGACAGTGATTTTCGTTTAACGAGGGAGCGATACAAACGTCAGGACGCCCCGTCCTCGATAACGTTGTTGGGCACGGGTCAGGATACCGCGAGACGCATCCACGAAGACGCTTCGGTGCACGAGAGTAATCCTTATCATCGACTGCATCAACAACATCAACATCGTCCCCCCCGTCGTAATAATCATGCCCATCCTCATCATAATCGTCGGCATGTGAATAACGGTAACAATAACAACAACAATAACCATCATCACCATTATCATCGTCGCGATCGCGAGGAGAACGAGGACGTCGTCGACGGTAACGAGCGTTTTAGTAAAAACGAGAGTGTGAACGGTGTCGGTCTCGACACGATGCGCGTTATTTCGTTCGCGTCAACGAACCGCGAGGATTACGACGAGGACGAGGACGACGAGGATACGTTGGCGGATGAGAACGGTGGTTCGAAGAAGTGCCGTGCCGGTGTTCGTATCGATGTAACAAAGACGGTGAAGAACGGTGAGAGCTGTAACGGTGGTAGTAATAATAATAATAATCGGAGCAGTGGTGGCGAGGGTGCCGCGATGACCGGTGGTGGCAACGCGTCGCGCGGTGACAATGCCGCCTCCACAGCCGACGGTCGGCGGTCTAGGTCCGTGTTTCACGACGCGAATGCTACGAACGATCGCGCGACCGAACCGAACGACCGTCGCGGCCGCCGCGTGGACGACGCGAACGACGACGACGACGAGGACGACGACGACGACGGAAACGCGTTACAGAAAGTGAATTGTCTTGGATGCGATAACACCGAGATCGAGAGAGTGGTCGACGACGACGACGACTCACGAAAGACGGACGGCATTGCTAGTGATGGTAGTAGTGATGGTAGTGGTAGTGGTGCTGCTGCCGCCGCCGCTGTTTCTGCTTCTAATGCCGCTGGTGTTACTGCAAATGGCCTCGTCGCCGCTAGGCATCAGGGCAGCCCTTTCAAGGGACAGGTTAGGACGGCCGAGGACACCCTCGTCGGCCCTTGTGGGAAGAAGCGGTGCACCGATCGATACGACAGCTCCGAGAGTTCTGACAGGTGAGTGAGAGCGAGATAGCTTCTGTCGTTTGCGGAACGCCTCAAGGAGGCGGAGGCGGAGGCGGAGGCGGACGAAGGACGAAAGAGACGAAGACGAAGAAGAGGAAGAGACGGAGCGGAGAAAAACTAGAACCCCCCCCTGCCCCCTGGTGTACATGCGTTTTACTCCCGATTCACGAATATTTTTCACATTTTTATTCCCGTTTTCGTTTCCGGGACGCGTTTCTTTGTCGTTGTTCCGCAAAATTCGAAAGAAAAAGCATCGTTCGGTTCGCACGTATTTCCAGTGTTTACGTTCCAACAGTCGTTTTGTTCGCGGCAGTCCTTTTTTCTCGGCTATATTTCGCTCCGGCTCGCCGGGAGGAGCCACCTGTATATTCGACCGAGGAACGCGATAGTTTCGGGGGATCGGGTCGGTGAATACCCCCGTTGTCGATGCAGCCGTCGACCAAGCGAAGACGGGGCCGCGTTTTCCGAGGCCGGCACGATACTTGGGGTATCGTAATTAGCGCGAAGGCGCGTTCGACGGCAGGCCAGGGGTCGTTGTACCGCGGTTACGAGACCGACAACCGTGGCTGCGTTCGATCTGTGTGCGCGTCGTGTTTATAGGTCCGTAGATGCTGCCAACTCGCTCTCTCTCCTTCTTCCTCTCTTCCCCCTTTACCTCCGTGACCCTCGCTCTTCTCTCTCTCGCCCTTCCCTACGTCTGGCCCTCGCCCTACACGAACTTATCGCACTAGATTCAGCCACGTTCCTTTCTCGATTCGGTTGCTATCCGCATAGTCGAACAACATTTTACTTCCAGCGCGCTTCCTATTTTGGAACATTTCGAATCGCAAGAGCGTTACTCGATATTTTCGAAAATTTACTTACCCCCGTTGCAAGCATCGATTTGTCAAACGCTCGACTCTTCAGTTATTCCGTTTCTCCCGTCCACGTGTTATTTATTATTGAAAACGTTCGTTCGGCGGGGGGGCATATTAATCAGTAATACACGAGGAAAATTTAAATATTTTTTACATAAATACGTATTTCTTTTTGCTATTCTTTCAGTTTTCCACTCGCGAGATTAGTTTTAAGATTGCAAACTTGATCGAATCGCGACGAGTCACGGAAGATACGAGAATCGATCGTTTATAAAATAGTTTTGCAGATTGCGTGCCCACGCCTGCACATTTTGATGCGCGACTTCGAATTTATACCATAGCACGATCGATATCTCGAGAGTTCAGCGTGTCAACAATTAATGGTTGATCTCTGCCCGAGTATGCCTCGTCGGGGATCAATTTTGTTTATGTTTTCAGTAATAAATCGAGATTTCGCTCGGAACGGTCGCGGCATTTATAGGCGACCGTGAATCCGTGCTTCTTATCGCGGTGGTTTCTTTAGTTATCGCGTAATTTAAAATTAAAATCGTGCTTATTTGTGCTCGGAAATTTTTTATACAAACGCGAGCAAAGTTTAATCGATTTACGAACTGGAAACGCACGTTCGCCAACGGTTTCGATCTTGGACGCGGAAACGGGACGACTTTTGAATCAAGGTTAGGCCGACAACTAGCTCAAAACTAATATTTAGAAAATGTTTGGTGCCTAGAATTCCGGAACCCTCTGTTCCGCGTTGCTTTATAGCACACGAACGTAAAAATTGTAATCGACGTTCCGATCGGTTCGTATTTCGCGAACATCGAAATGGTGGAACGTAAACCAAGTTCGAATTCCGTGTACCGAAATGGTGCCTCGTAACTTTCCGACTTTTCTCGCTGCGATTAGTTTCCGTGCGCCAGTGGACGCGCTGAACTTGGATAGAAAGGAGGTTCGCAACAAAAGTTTAGTACCCTAACGGTTCTTCTCTGTGGAACACTAAACCCAGGAGCGTTTCTTAAGAAGAACGTCACCCGCTAACCGCATTGTTGTCCACGTTGACCGATAATACGTATTTAGAATCGAGTCCCAACTTCCGCTTACTTGTTTCAGCAGCCGTGTATGGTATTCGAGCAATTCGATGTGTAATCGATAGGTATCGAAAATGTTGGGTACTCGGTATCCACTATCGGTACAACGTTTCCCCCTGGAAACGGGTACCGTTCGAGACTCGATAACATAGTAATCGACCAGTTTGATAAAGAATTATTATTAGATCGCTTATATCGAGTTCAGCGCAGTCATCGAATTAAATTGATCGCGAACGATGCCTTCGAAACGGAAACGGATCGATAAGCGGTTACCCTACACCGAGAACAGTATCGATACGGTGTCATACCCATCGCTGCTTCTTGTTTCCTGAAAGCGTTACGTGTCTTTGTCCGCATAATCTGGTCATTGAATCCATGTTTATTTTGTCTACTGTACCCCCGTGCGGTATGCCTTCGCGAAACGCTCGGTGGAGGTGGAAAGTGGGGGAGGACTTGTCCCGAACTGTAATTGGATCGAATTCGAGGGGAGAGCGACTCACGGTTGGTCGGTCGTTCGCGCGCGATATTTCGAGTCACGGTTCACAAGCGTACGAGTCGATATGCATCTTTTGTTTCATTTTGTCGACTGCTCTCATCGCGGATGGACAGAATTTCGTTCGAACAACAGGCTATAAATTGTTCGCTTTAGAATTGCAACTCTCGTCGAACAGACAACGGACGTAGAGTCGTTCGTGACCATGATTCCTCGCGTATGTTACCGAGGTCACAATTTTAACCGAATCTCCAGAATAATCGTGTCGGTTATTCCCTATAGGGGATGCACCCGAGGGAAGATATTTTATTTTGCTATTAATATCGTGTGTTCTTGCACCAGGATGGCTGCAGTTTATTAATCCTTAAGCAAGTCAGGGCCGGCGCCAGAACATTACGCGCCCTAGGCGACTGACCTAGTTGGCCTCACGGTAGCATCGATCTTGGCCTCGTTCGTGGAAACGTTATGCACAAAGAGCCACAGAATCGACGCGAGATTCTTCTCTCGCGTTTTTCCTCGGTCTATCCTCGCGGAATAAGTTTTCCTTTTCGTTCGGCTAATCGGCCACCTAGAGATAGTCGCGTTTGACTTCGATAACGATTATCTGTACGGTTACCAGGAAACGCGGGAGCCTCGTTGCCTTTTTCTATCCGGATGCAGCTCCAGCAAAAAACTGTTCACCTTTGGATTCCTGAAACCCGAACTTTGCCCGCAGACCAGCAAAATTTTACTCGTATTCGCAAACGATTTCGATCGAGCAACGGATCAAAGGTCGTTCGTCTTTTCCTCGTTATAAGTATTTTTCATTCAGTTTCTGCGTGCGTGGATCGTAGTCGCGCTCCCGGAAGCAAAGCAGTTTCTCCCACTCTGTATCCATTGCTGTAATACACTCCAATTGTTTTGTCAGCGGTAACTAGCAGTGGCTGTTTTACATCGACGATTGAACTCGAGCCTGTGCGCTCGTGCGTGCGTCCAATTACAACGCGTTCGCAACGGCGGCGAAGAAACGCCGATACTTTCAAGACCAAACTAAAAATTTCCCCGTAATCGAGGGGAGAGAAGAGTGTTTCAAGTTGCTCGAGTTAATCCATAAATTTGGCAGTCGCGAATGAAAAGAATCCGGGCGAACGCGTTGGAAGGAAAGCTTTGTTCCGACAATGGCGCTCGGGGATCCCGTACGGTCTGATCGAATTGAACGCTCGGGCGTAATTTACAAGGCACTCAAAACGCACCCCACGCGGTGCATCCTTTGGAGCGCGTGCAATGGCCTCGATGGTTAACGTGTACGGCCTATAGAGGCCTTCTGGTAATATTTTCATGGCCGCGGCCAGAGGGAGAATCGACTCCCGCTGCGGCCGAGCCCGACTCTGGCTGCTTGTATTTTCTGTTGTAATCGGTGCTCGGTCTCCCGGTACAGTTGACGGCATTTTCTGTGTGCCGCTCGAGAGGCCTTATCGCTCCTCCAATGCGTCCAGATAATGACCCGAATTCGGCTCGACGCTCGTTAATCTCCCAGCGCCGATATCGCGCCGCTTTGCCAGACTAATCGCCGCTTTCTCGTGTTTTCGTTTCGATTCTCGGTCTTTGCTACACGACACGGACGCGCAATATCTTACTCGCGGTAATAGATAGCCAAACAACCTCAAGAAACTTCGCCGTTGCATCGATCGAAAGTTTACGAAGACGATTTCCTCGAACCGTTGACGGAAGCAACGCTTGAATCTCGTCGGTGTTTCCTTCACTCGTGGGCCCAGTTTCATGGTTGTTACGATAAACTTTCTCTGGTTCCATATTTAAAATTGCAGAATTTGATTGATGCAATGGCATGAATACATATTCTAATTAAAAGAAATATCGTATTTCGAATATGCGATCAAAGCCCGTAAATCTAATGTTAAAAATAACGAGTGTAGCCTGAAACTTGCCAACTTACAAGCAACTGACATATAGAGGATAAACAATTCTTCAAATTTCAATCGTGATTCGAAGTTTCTATCCGGATAAGAAATCCTGTTCGTCGTCGTCGATCTATCGATCCTCCTCGACCGCGATCGTGGTCCCGCGGAAACTCGAGGATCGATAGACTGCACGCGTTGCATTCGACGCCGTTCGGTCGCGGACAACATAATTAGGTTGTCGAAAAACGCCAGAGCGAAGCGTGTAGCCTGTTCTGGTTCCCGTTCCCGGCGGTTTATTTTTTCCTGGTCGTCCACCGGCGCCGCCGCCGCTGCTGGGTCCCCGAAACGAAACGAAACGAAACGAAGCGAAGCGGGGGCGATCGTGAAGCGGTCGCGACTCGACGCGAATCGCGTGGCCGTGGCCGTGGCCGTGAAAGTGAAATTCGTGAATGAAACGAGTGGAACAGCCGGCAAACCGAAGTGAAGGTAAAGGTTGCCGGTTTCACCCGGTTCACGCGCGACCGTCTTTCTTCTTCTTCGACCAGCCTGAATTCTCCATTTCGCGGGCCACGGCGTCCACCTCGCGACAAACTGCATTCGATCCTGTTAGAAACGTAGAAATCAAGGAATGCCTGAAGCAGGCCATGTGCTTCTC